AAACAGATGAAGCCGACAGTCAGCTTGGCCTTTAATTTTTGCTAGAATCCAGTTAAAGGTGCTCATTTTCTTGAAGACCGTATTTCTTTATTTGTAAAATATGCATAAAAATTTGTCCTCCCTATTTCATGGGGTGTTTTGGGCTTGTAAGTCCAGGAGAGTGTCTTCAAACCATGGAGTCTTATTCAAATGTTAGGAAAGAGTGCAGCATAGCTAATGCTAATGGAGCTCTTTTTTGTGCGCCAGGTACTGTGCTAAGGAATGTATGGATGTTCTTTTATTTATGCCCTCAACAACTCTTGAGGTATTATTTTGTTCCCATTTACAGATGAGCAAAATGAGGCACAGGGGGATAAAATAGCCCAAGGTGAAGCAAACAAACAGGTAAATAAATACTGAGAAGGAGAAGGGCTGGAATTCAAATACAGCTCTTTCTGATTCTCTAATCTGACTCAAAGTAGCAGAATTGGAACACAGGTCGTAGGTATTGCCATCTCCATTTTGGAGGCCGAACCTCTTGGGAGCCTGAAAGGTGGTCAGGGTAGGAATATTATCGATACTTGAATAACGAGAAATGTAATGCTATGTTGAGCTTCTTTTGTTTTTAAAGACTATTTGAGAAAGAGACAGAGATAGTGAGAGAGCATGAGTGGGGAGGAGAAGGAAAAGCAGGCTCCTCTCTGAGAAGAATCTGAGGCAGGGCTCCAGCCCAGGACCCCGGGATCATGACCTGAGCTGAAGGCAGACACTTAACTGACTGAGCACCCGGGTGCCCCTAAATTGAACTTTCAAGAGTGGATTGGGTTTGAACTATGGAACCGGTGTTGTGATGGCTAATTTACGTGTCAATCTGAGTACCTAGAGGTTCTCAAATGAAACCTCGTGGGTGGGTCTGTCTGTGAGGGTGTTTCTGGATGAGATTAGCATTTGAATTGGTGGACTCCCCCAAAGTAGATTGCCCTCCCCAACAGAAGAGGCCCATCCTATCCACTGAGGGTCTCAATAAAACAAAAAGTGGAGGAAAAGGGATTTACCCTCCCCTCTTTTTTTTCCTACCTCACTAATTGAGGCAGGAAATCACATCTTCTCAAATGGAATGTATGTCACAGGCTCCTCTGGTTCTCCAGCCTTCAACTCTGAATTACACCACCAACTTTCAGAGGTCTCCAGCTTGCAGATGGCAGATCGTGGGACTTCTCAGCCTCCATAATGGCATGAGCCCATTTATCTATCTATCATCTATCTATCATCTATCATCATCTATCTAATCATCTCTGTGTGTAGGTGTGTATTCTCTCTCAATCTCTCTCTCTCTTTCTCTCTCTCTCCCTCCTACTGGTTCTGTTTCTCTAGAGATGCTGACTTACGTAGGTATAAATAGACCAAGCAAGGCCTCCACTGCAGGGAGAGGTCAGGGATCTGTAAATGGTGCCATTTTGCTAAAACACATGCTACACAAAGGGGTTAACTGGGAAGTAAGGCAGGCTGGGCCTTCTTACAGAGAACTCTGAAGATTAGAGATTCTGGGTTTTCTTTAGTAAAATAAATTGTTCAGTTTTGGAATGATTTTGTCAAAACTTAATACAAGAAGAGGAAGTATACATTAGGAGTAGAAGGAAGGCGGTAAAGAAGAAAGGAAGGATAGGAGGAGGAAGAGACGCAAGGGAAAGAGGAGGTGAGGAAGAGAATGAAAGCAGCGACAGCAAGAATAAAAAGACCTGGTATTTCTGGGGTCTGCTCAGAGACAGAAGAGAGTTTTATATCCTCCACACTCCCACTCTCTACCCACGCTCCCCGCACTCAACACACAGGCCAGGTAAACTTGTGCCCATGAACCTAATCCTAAAGCCATGTCCTGAATACTCAACCTCCATGCTGCTGGTTGCTTTGTGCGGAGGCTCAAGCCTCCTTTAGATGGCCCTTCAGTTTGAGAAAAGTCATTGCCTGAGCATGCGTATGATGTAATGGCTGCTCTTGCACATGCAGTTTTGGTTAGAGGAGTCAAATGGCTCTCTACAATGAAGTACTAGGACTTTTAAGTTTCTCTTTCATGAACAAAGAAAATAGAAGCAATGTTTCTGGACTTTCACAGAAGAAGGCATTCAAGGATGGGTTTTCCGAGAGGGTGAAGTGAGGCCTCAGCAACATGGTGAGAAGCCAGAGCCCACAGAGGTTGGTCACTGCCAACTTCCACCTCACACATGGCTGATGTTCAGTTTTAAGGTGTTTTCTGATTGAGTCTGTGATTGTGCTTTGCCTTCCCTCCGTCTTCCATTAACTCGGCTTAGACATCTTATGTAACTAATATGGAGAAAGCATGGTGTGGGAGAGGGGCAATATGCTTAAGTTTTGAAGCAAAGCAGATCAAATTGAGAGTTGGAACAGCTCCAGATCTTGGCAGGGTATCAGGGTCCATCTGAGAGAGGTCAAAACTGAGCTGGGAGCTGGACCAATCCTTGGGGCAGTAGGCAAACTGCCTCCTCTCCCAATTCCAGGAATTCTCAGGCACCCGGCAGGGCATTTAACTTCTCACATTTGGGGAGACTGGGGTCTGGGGGCTCTTTTATTTAGATACTAAAGCAAGGTAGATTCAGAACGTTGGGGGATCTGCTGATGCCTGGACAATGCAAATAACAACTGTGAGTGTCTGCAGTCTTCCCTGTTTGTTGCTGTATTTATTTACTCTTCTAAAAATAAGGGGTTTAAATGGTTTCCTGTAGCATCAAAGGTGTCCTAACTGTTGACACTTGACTATTGATGATAGCACTTTGCTTCAAATTACTGCCAACATCACACTCTGTACCAAAGTGTAGGTTAGGCCCTTGGTTCCTGGCTAAAGTCAGGAAGCATTCTGTTCTCACTTATCATTGGAAAACATTTAACCTAAAACTATTCTAAGTGTTTTTTTAATGTTTTGCTGTTTTTCACATGCTACATGGACAATTTTTATCAGAGATTTTTCTCCTCAATATGGTAGTTCTGTTGAACTAATAATTCGTGAGGGGAAAACCTATTTATGGTTTGTATACCTGGCTGTGCCATCCTGGTTCACTAGCAGTACATGGGGGGGGGGGGGGAGCTGTTTGCTTTCCCTGGCTTGTTTTAGGACAAAGGGCCCTGTCCAAAAGATGCCACAAAGGAGATGCTTACTATGGATAGAAGCAATGTAATTGGATACAAAATATAATATTTTCATGTTAATTTATACCTTTTGAATGTCCTATTGCTACACTTCACCTCCTTGTAAAAAAAAAATCTAATTATTTGGCAAGCACAGTGTTTTAGACTGTTACTGAGATTCATAACAATTAGGACTAATTTGCTTTTCAGGAGTCCTCTTTGGTTCTTGTAGTTTTCTGAAGATAAATCATTTGACCTCAGGCTCACAGAAAAAAAAATAGGCCCAAGGGAAATGTGACTGCAAATAGCACAGCCTCAGCAAATGCTGAGCCACGAGGGCTGAGTTCACCAGTGGGGACCCTAAACCATATACACTAGGGGCTTGCTCAAAGTGGTAATGAGGGGCTGACACAGCCGGAGAAGAAAGAAACTTTTTCTCTGAACTACCAGCCTGGGTATGTTTCCACTACATTCTACCCCTATAATAAACCATTAAAGTTGGCCAGCATGCTTGAGCATTGTGTGCCTTTTTCCTATACTAATGTGAAGATCAACCTCTATCCTTGAAATCTTCCCTTAAATGGATAGTTTTCCTGTCTTTTGTCTTTGCCATATTAATTTACCACAGGAGTCTTTTTGTGTTTTTTAGTTCCCTGTTCAAGATCTTCTGGTGGTCATGTGATCAATGTCTTAGAAATAAAGCTTCCTAATCTCACTCTGGTATTCAGTTTTTTTAATAATCTAATGTAGTAGCAATTCACCTTTGTCTTCTATTCATAAAAAAGAAATAGCACTTTCCATTATGGAGCACTATTCAGTACTAGACAATATATATTCAATCTCATTTAACCCAGTGAAAGAGGCAATACTGTTATTTTTATGTTTACAGATAACATCGTAATGCTAGAGAGTTAAATAACTGGACCAAGGGTACAATTCAAATTCAAGCTATCAAGCCTGTCCAAGGCTTAACTCTTGAGCTGTTTCCCTTCTGGTCAGGATCCTATCCCACCTCTTCAAACTGGTCAGGATCATACTTCCCACGGTAGGCTTGGTTCATTCTCACATATTAGCCTGTTTATCATCTACTACTCACTCAAATTGTCTCTCTTTTATTGTCTATCCAAGCACTTCTTTAAAGGCCTGTATGAATTTCTGATTGGTGTTAAATTTAATGGCTTACCAGGGTTTGAGACATAGACAACTGTGTGGGCTCTTAATTCTGCTACCACAGTGACCCATTCCAAGCTCATCTCCACTCTCAGGGTTTCCTGAAAGCCTCCATCAGCAGCCTATCCCATTCTATAGCTTATTGCTTGTATCTTCTGAGCTTGCAAAAATTTGCTTTCCACTCAGTTGTGTGATTTTGAAAACTGGGTTCCATTTGTTATGGGTTCGGAGTGTCTCAGCTACAACCTTAGAGATTATCCAGTCAAGGGATAACAAATAGGTTTCGTCTTAAATGTCACATCCATGCAGCTGGTAGAAGTAGCTCAAGGTTTTGTGTTGGGAGGATTTTGAGGCTCCTTCTGTTCTCAAAACAAAGAAGGCTGTGATCAAATAGAATGTTTGCCGTGAAGGCAAGAAGTGAAAATGGCAGCTTGGGCGCCACATGCTGGCCACTTCTGCTCTTCTCCCCTATCTCTCCATCTTCAAAATGAGGAAAAACAGTTGGAAAAGGGCAACTGGCTTTTACACAGGGCCTACTATGCGTCTTATGCTGTTCTGGTATATTACCTAACTTAGCTTTTTTGACCTTCATAGTGGCCTGCTCAATAGAAGCAGAAATTAGGGTTCAAAGGTTAATAACTTTACATTTTGTCCCAAATGTCCATTGGAAGAATGTGGGACAAAAAACAGAGAGCTACCATGCTCACTTCTGCAGCACAGCTGCTAAATTCTGAAATTGGAAACACTATAGAGAAGATTAGCATGACTCCTGCACAAGGATCACATGCAAACTCATGAAGCATTCCATATTTTTGACAAACGAACAAAAAACCAGTCTCTTAACTATAGAGAATAAACTGGTTGTTACCACAGGGGAAGTGGGTGGGGGGGGGAAGGGTGAAATAGTGAAGGGGATTAAGAATACACTTACGGTGAGGAGCACTGACGCACAGAATGGTTGAATCACTACATTTACGCCTGAAACTAATAAAATGCTGTATGTTAATTACACTAGGATTTAAAAAAATACAGACCTATGTAATTGCAAATCCGATTCTGTCCACTATAATAAACTCGAGACTTAAAGGATTTACACAAGGCCAAATGGAACTAGAAACAAAGTTGGAATTAGAATTATGGTAAATACATTTCCAAAAAACAAAACAAAACAAAACCCCACAGGATATAGAGATGGGTACATGGCCACGATGCTGAATACTTACAACGGGGACTTTTATAAGAAATCCAAAGCTTTACAGTTAACTACAACCAATTATCGACACATATAACAGAGGTTTTCTGTTTGACTATATTCAATGATCATAAGACATTATTCGTTTTCCCTGAGTGAAAACCTGGCTGATTTTTTGGCATTGAGAGCTTGCTTTATGTTTACTTACCCTGGGTATTTGTCTTCAGTTCTCTTTAATATTGTCCTGTAAAACAGACCTTACTGCTTCCTCTTTCCCTGTCTTTATTAATTTGAATGGATTAACATGCTCTAGAAACTGAATTTCTTTTTTTTTTTTTTTTAAAGAAAGATTTATTTAAGAGAGAGAGAGCAGAGGGAGAGGCAGAGGAAGGGAAAGAGAAAATCCTCAAGCAGAGTCCCTGCTGAGCATGGACTCCAGGGACTCAGGGTTCAATCCCAGGCCTGGGAGATCATGACCTCAGCGGAAATCAAGGGTCAGCTGCTTCACCACCTGGGCTGCGCAGGTGCTCCAAGGAACTGGAGTTCTCACAGAGACGTCAGGGACCAGCTATTCCAGCTCTCTGCCTCTGCCTGAGGGGCCTTGTGCTAAAGAAACCTTTGCCTCAAGCTGAGAACTCTTTGCTAAGGTGCTGCTCATTGAAGAAACTCCCTGCAATCAGGTCAAAATCACTCTCCAAACAGTGGATCGTGCCACTGTCTTGCTTAAAATGCTCCAGGGCTCCCCATCTCTTTCTGGAGAAAAGTCACATTCTTATTCTTGGCCACAGGTCCTTCCTCGTCTTACAGGCTGTTGGACCACTAACTTCATCTCTTACTCCTCTCCCTCTCCCCCTCTGTCAGTCCACTTAGCACTCTCCTGCCAGCTGCTTTGCTGCTCTCAATCCTCTTATCTGGCTTCCAGGTTTTTGTCATGCCCTGAATTCTATCCCCTAGGTTGGACTGCTGCTCTCCTGCTGTGCCCAACACAGCTGCTTGAGTCATTCTTTAAAATGCAAATCTGATCATGTCATTATCTGGCTCAAATCCCTCTAGTGGCTTCCTTTCATCCAGGTCAGTGGTTCTGAAACCTAACTGATATCAGGGTTGTATAGATGTAGCTCTGAGTCTCACCGCCCACTCCATCCCTTAGCCAAGATTCCCATTCAGAAGGTCTGGGATTGAGGCCAGTAATAACTTCCAAAAAATTCCAGTGATGAACTAGGTCTACAGAGGATGTCGACATCCCTGATGAGCACATAAATGAATCCTCTTGTTTGATCCCATTCAAATTCACACTTCCTCACAATCTACACTAAACCTCTTCCCCATTCAGACCTAACCTCCAATCCCTACAACTGTTAGGTTTCGGCTACTCTAACTTGTTCCCTGCACATAACATGCTCCTGGCTATCTCCATGCTTTTTTTTTTTTTTTAATAATAATAAATTTATTTTCATTGGTGTTCAATTTGCCAACATACAGAATAATACCCAGTGTTCATCCCGTCAAGTGCCCCCCTCAGTGCCCGTCACCCATTCACCCCCACCCCCCGCCCTCCTCCCCCTCCACCACCCCTAGTTCATTTCCCAGAGTTAGGAGTCTTTATGTTCTGTCTCCCTTTCTGATATTTCCTACCCATTTCTTCTCCCTTCCCTTCTGTTCCCTTTCACTATTATTTATATTCCCCAAATGAATGAGAACATATAATGTTTCTCCATGCTTTTATACAGGACATCCTATTCTCTAGATGAGGAAAGGTTAACTCTATGAAAGGAGACTTCCAAATCCAGCTCAGGCATTGTTCTTGAATTCTCTACCGTCTGCTCAGACTGAGTCTATCACTCCTTCTACGTCACTTCTGATTACTCTATTTTGCTTATTTCATATGCAATGGTCTATTTTATAAAGTAGACAACGCATTTGTTTTATGTATTAAATGTTTCTTATATTTCAGCCAAACCTGCCATTGCGCTTGAGTTACAACTCCTTTTTTACGTATATAACTTACAAAATATTTTTATTCCCACAATATTGTATATGATCCTTACAACAGTTTCCTCTTGAGATGAGAGAAATGACATTCACAGAAGCTGTCTTGCCCCATATCACACACAAAAAAAATGATGAGAACTCAGATCTCTTACTCTAGTGATGTACCACGTGTGATCTATGATATACCATATAACATCTCATGATGTGCATCTTACGGCGTGCCATTTAACATCTCAAATTAATAGAAGACTCACATAGTAAGTACAATATATAGGTCATTAAATTTTGGTTAAGCAATGTAATAAACTATCCTGGAAAAAGGCTAAATTCTATTTTTTATCAATAATATTTTTCTATTAAAAAGAAAATGAAATGATCTGTTAGAAACTAAAAATGAAAATATATAAACCTCCCAATCTCCAACCACTGCCACTTTTTCATTTTGAGGGTGATTAGAATGTCCTAATTTCTATTTTGGTAAGGAGGTTTTCAGCAGGGTTCCCCTGAGGTCCAGCAAGCTCAGATAGATATAAGGGAAGCTGCATCCAGAAAGTGTTAGACACCAAGGAATTGATCTAAATTCTCTTTTTCACAGCCACTCTTCAGTTTATTCAACAACTCTTAGAGACCTAATCTATTAATAAAATGTCATGACTTCCTTTTTTTTAATACTGACTGGTATTTTCAAAACCAGAAACAAGTGAAACTAGGTATAATTCTTTAGTGTATATGATAAAGGTTCCATTTGATAGCACTTCTTTATTTAAAATCTAAAGATTTACACTTGTGCTTTCAGAAGAATATAACTATTACCATCACAGGAAGCAGCTACATGAGGCCCAGGAACATAAGGAATTTATTTTAAGGACTAAACACTTCATAAATGGGGAGAAAGAAAACCTACTCTTCCTACTGATGCTTTTTCTATTAAGATATCTACTAGAAGCCAGAGACTTCATCATGAAATGACCCTTCATCATGGGCACAGTCATTAACTGAAACACTATCATATGTCAGTTAGAATATTTTTGTCACCATCAAGAATAATCCTCTTTTGGGCACCTGGGTGGTTCAGTGGATGAGCATCTGCCTTTGGCTCAGATCGTGATCCCGGGATCCTGGGATCGAGTCCCACATCAGGCTCCCTGAGAGGAGCCTGCTTCTCCCTCTGCCTGTGTCTCTCTCTCTGTCTCTCTCTCTTTCTTTGTGTGTGTGTTTCTCATGAATAAATAAATAAAATCTTTAAAAAAAGAATCATCCTTTTTTTAAAATGCAAGAAAACAATAAAGAAATGTATCAACTTATAATTGGAATACCAGAAATCGTGTGGGTTTCTAGAATGATATTATCAGCGGATCAACAGGATCGTTAAAGATCCATATTCTTGGGTGGTACAGTTGGTTAAGTATCTGACTCTTGGTTTCTGCTCAGGTTGCTATCTCAGAGCGATGAGATCAAGCCCCACATTGGGCTCCATGCTCAGTGTGGAGTCTGCTTAAGACTCTCCTTCTCTACCTGCCCCTCCTCCCCACATGAATGCTCTTTCTCTCTCTTTATAAAATAATAGATAAATCTTTCAAAATATTATTTCTACATTTTTAGTCTTCCTTCTTTGGGAGGCCTTCTCCTCAGCCTGTACATAAGATAACCTCAGTACTTACTGAAATATATTCAGAGAGAACATCATCCAGATGAAAGAGTGAAATAGTCTCTGCCTATGGCCTTCTCTTAGGATTGGGGAGACTTTCCTCAGACTAACTCCCACCTCATGCTTCATTAGTCATAAATGTGTCACATGGACAACTTTCTCCATAGGGCAATTCTAGCAAAGAGTGTAATGGATATTGGGAGGTAATCACAATATTCATTAGATGCTATAGTTTACAGTTTTTCTCGGAACGAGAGATGCACAATTCTGTACTCATAGCAAGATGGAACAGATTAAAGAAGGACCAAGCCTAGCCTAAAACAGGGTAGATAAATAGGGTCTCTAAGTGTATGGCCATCAAAAATCATTTTAGACCCAAAATAATGTTGTGGTATCTCACAATGGTAGGTAGAGTCAAAGTGAGCTAAATGCATAAATCTACCTGGTCCATGAGCACTCGTTTCCTGAAGAATGTCCCTCTGTTAGCAGCAGCATATAAAGCCATTTTAATGTATTAGAATGTGAGAAGCTCTTAGTCTTTTACTTTCTTTAGGGTGAGAGATTCACCTCTTTCAAACCATTAAATCTATGGGGAGTGAGAAGTGGTATTAAAAGTTCCTTTTCTTTGATCTTAACTCTGTGCTTTTCGTATAAAGTCCTACTCATTTAGGCAAAACAAAGTATCCTTAATTCAACCATAGAACAAGAAGGTCTTTAGTCAGGCTAATACAGACATAAGCTCCTTTGATACCAATAGGCAAAGCAATTTAATGATTAGTCTGCCAACCCCACCCACCACAAATACACAATGAGGAAAAAGAACTAAAGCCACCCCTACTCTTCATTCAAGTATAAATTAAATTGGAAACCATGAGATTGAGAATGATGGTGATTAGTGGGTACAGGTGTGGAGGAGATAATCAGGAAAAATAATGTCTGAGTTAGGAGGGCTGACACTTCAGTTAACTAGCTCTATGCTCCA